CAGGGACATCGACAGGGACATCGACAGGGACATCGACAGGGACATCGAGGGTGGACTTCGACGACCAGGGACTCCGATACGGGGCATTGGCATGGACATTGCCAGGGACTCGGACAGAGATATTGACTAGGGACTTCGACACGGACACCAACGGGGACATCAACTTGGACTTTGGCGGGGGATATCGATAGTGAACTTTGGCTAGTCGACATTCACGGGGACTTCGACAGGAACATCGCCAGGACATTGACCAGGACTTCAACAGGATTTCGACTAAGGAACATGGATAGGGGACATCGACAGGGACTTTGATACGGGGCACTGGCAGCGGGGATCGACAGCGTGCTTCGACAGGGTTCGGCAGGGACTAGGACATGACAGGGCATGGATGGAGACATTCGACGTCAACAGGGACTTCGACGGGCTAGGAACGACGATGGAGGATATGGAAGAAGGATGTACCGGATGAACGGCTTTCACCAACTTCACGAGAAGAACAACATACCAGAATCGTCGAATTCGAACACATCACACAAAAAGGCCATCACTATGGCAATTCTCTCATCACGACTGAGAGGGGTCAGGGGCGGGTATACAACTGAGCCATCTTATGACAATTCATGGTGAGTCTCACAAAGCCTTTGCGAATGATGCATTAATACTGACGGAGTTTACAGACGGGTCTAGAAACTCGTGGATATCATTCTTGAAGCAATACAAGCATTACAGCAGCCACAATAGCATATGCCGATCCTCTGCTATAGCAAACACATTCATTCATTGTGCACATTCAAGATCCATCATTATAGCCAGAAAAAGGGTATATATGCCAACATAAACTCCTTCAAGCAATTTAAACACTTAATCCTTGTGAACAGCCGTAGCCTTCTCAGGGTCCTCCTCGATGACTCCGCGGTGAGCAGCCACAATCTCCATATCGCGGTCATGCGCGACATCAAACTGACGGCCCAGTTTCTCCGGCCCAAAGAAGGTAATAATAATGACATAGGCGTAGACGCATCCCATGAAAATGCAAATGACCTTGCCATAGTCGTAGCGGTGCTTGACCTTCGCCGTAGGCGGCAGGGGGAACCGCTCCCCAATCGTCGATTCGATGGTAGAGCTGGCGGATGAGACAAGGTTACCCAGCTGGTACGCGGTACCAACAGCAAAGGTACGGATCGAGCCCGGCGCAAGCTCCATCAGATGGATCGGGATGACACCCCAAGCGCCCTGCACGCAGAACTGCTCGAAGAAGGCAGCCGCCATGACGGATTTGGTTTGGACAAAGGTATAGGGGTACAGCAGGGCACCGCCGACGATAGAGATGAAGATGATGGAGAACCGGCGGCCGAAGACCTGACTCGCCCAGCCGCAGAGGGTACCGCCGGAGATGGCGCCGAGATTGGCGACGACCTGGGTGACGGTGACGGCGTTGGAGGAGAAGCGGAATTGGTTTGTTAACATGGTGGGGTAGAGATCCTGGGAGCCGTGGGACTATTTGACTGTGTTAGCTTGTATCGCTGTTGTGCGCGAGGCTATATACATACCATGAAGTTGAAACCGGCCATGAGCAGGACGAGATAGATCAGGAGTAGCCAGTGGCGCTTGAGGGCGACTTTGCCCTCCTCGAAGAAGGTCGAGGTGACGCCGCCGCGGACCTCGGCACGGATGGCCTGGCGCTGTCGGAAGGCCTCGGTCTCAGGCAGACACAGACGGAAGGCGATGATGAGGACGGGAGGGCAAGCAGCGAACCAGTAGAAGGGTCTCCAGCCGTGCGGGGTGGTGTCGACGAGGGCGCGCGCAAAAGCCGTTGCGAGGAGGTATCCGAAGGCGTAGCCCTGCTGCAGGAGACCCGACACGATACCGCGCGCCTCCATGGGACAATCCTCGAGGGCGGTGGCCGCTACATTACCGTACAATCCGCCCATGGCGATTCCGAAGAGAGCACGGCAGGCACTATGCGAGGTCAGTGACGGCTCGACTGGACAAATGCAAAGAGACTTACAGGAACTGTTTGTATGTCTGGGAGAAAGCGGTTCCGAGTTCCAGAACGATGAAGAGGATGTTGTTGACCACGAAAGGCCACTTGCGACCCCAGCGATCGGATGCGATACCGAATGTGATGGCGCCGACGGATCGGAGCATGAGAACGAGGGTGATACCCCAGGTGATATCGGAGATGGATTTATTGAATGTCGCGGCCAGTTGGGAGGTGGTCAAGGAGACGGTGAAAAAATCGAAAGCGTCCCATGTCCAACCGAAGAAGGCGACCTGGATAGGTTAGTTAGGGTTATTCAGTGAGGATGCGATCACGAACTAACTCACCAGGAAAAATAACCATTGTTGTTTGTTCAGGAGCATAAGCGCCTTGAAAGGATTGGGAGCAGGGTTCATGGGAGGCTTCAAAGTCGAGATGCGAGTGGCGAGGTATCTGCCGATACTCATGCGAGGGCCGCCCTCGTCTGCGGCTGAGAGGGGCGCCTCAGTATGTTGAGGCTTTCCCTCATACTGTTCAGCCATGTTGAGGGAAAGGATAGCTGACCGAAATCAGAATAGGCAGCGAAAGGACGAGACGTAGGACAAGTGGTGTGGATTGGATGAAGAAGAGGAGATATCGCAGAAGCAGCAGAGAGGGAGTTGGGCCGGCTTTAAATCACCGAAGGAACGACTCGGCTGAAAAGACAGAAAAGTCAGGCCGAATGACCCCTCACCCCGGTGGTTATTCCGTCTGGGGAACACTACTTTGCTTAGCTCTTAGACATTTACACAACCTCGTGGCCCTCGTGGGAGCATGCTCCAGTCTAGCCACGCGCTAGGGAAGTTTAAGCGTCGGAGGAGATGAGAAACCGTGGGACCAAAGGGTTAAACCCCGGATGGGCCAAAGGGAAGCCTTTGGTGACAGTCCTGGGGGAAGCCGATATCGTCTCGACTCTCGACTCCTTGCCTGAATGCTGCCATCCAAATCCCGAGAAGAAAATCTCCGACAATGACACTCCTTTGCACTTCTTTACGATTTACCGTCGAAACGATTGGAAAATTTTATCAGGTCGATAGATAAGGGCTACGGGGCCATCACACAGAAATAGTGCCAAGCTTTACTAAGGGGCCAAGAATCTCCGCAATCTGGGGATACGAACTTGAAATGACGCCCTCATCACGATTTAGTTTATGATTCCATTGCTGTCTCTGTTCCACCGAACTTAAGAATCAAAGACAGATGACACGTATCTAGACCATGATTTGCTATATTATTATCGTTCCGTATCCTGCTCTTGCAGACTGATTCGCTTTGCCGAATTTCCCCGGGCCATCTGCCAGCTTTGTCTCAGTCATCCGAAGCGGCGAAAGTGCGAAATCTTCTTTTCTGACCCCTTTTGCAATCCTTTTGCTTGGAAGAATTTGCCACTGTACCTCCGGACTGAAAAGATGACGCTTTACATTTTCCCTCGAGGTTCCTGTCCTGGTCTGAGCGGCTGAGCCGTACTTTGGGTGTCGGACATGGGCCGAGAGCGGCGAATGATTTTGATTCGCTCGTCCTTTGGGGCAACGTGGGCGGTTCACTTCAGGTTCCTTTGAATTCTAATTAATCCCGCATTGTGCGGTGCGGGGTGCTAGCGTGGAGATGTCTAGGCTTCTCTTCTCTCGCGAGTTAATCTGGAGATCCCCATATTGTAATCGGAATTTCTCGCTCGACAGGTGAGCACATACTCAAAAGATACGATTTATTTTCGTCAAGATCAAACTCAATGCCAACAATGGTTTGTGGCGCAGGATAATGACGCCGGGTATCATGTTGCAGTGGCATGCAGTCGAACAAGCTCGCCCAGACAATTCTTAGTATTCTTGGACTCTGGACACTCTTGGCTCCTGCCCCATTCAGCAACTCCGGTTGAGAAAATGAGAAACGTGTGAAACCAAACGGCTACAGGTCTTTGCGACTCCATCAGCGTTAGTTTTACTTTCAATATCACTTCCCAGTGAGCGACCGCTTGGGCCGCGCTCTCAAGTAGACGTGTTGGACTCGGTCTCGAATAGAGCTCCGTATCCGCATTCTTCGGGCACTTTCCGTCAAGGCCCAGACTCCAAACGCTGTTAGTGCCTCTCATGTACTCGGTTTCTCCGTGGATCGGGAAC